CTGGTGCTGCCTTTCTCCGTGCGGCCTCTTTAAGGGTTGCAGGATTTTCCCTACTCCTTGGCTTTCCCAAAACAGCTGACTGCACTAAAGCTCCTCTCCAGAGGAGATGTGCGTGTTGGGCAGATATTGCACCATGGGTCTCGCTGTCGGTGTGACCCTGTCAGCACCGGAGCTGAGCCCTGCCTCTCTCCAGAGCTTTGCTTTAGTCTTGTTGCTCTATCAGGGGCTGAGTGCGTGTCAGATGATGGTTTTCAGTTATTTCCCTCCACTTCCCTAAAAAAACCCCAAAAAACAAACCACCCCTCTTTCTCTGGTGCTGCCCTTGCAGTCTCCTGATGGCCCCTCCTGTCTCCTCCTCCCTTCTCCAGGGCAAACCTGGTGGACCTTCAGAAGAAGCTTGAGGAATTGGAGCTGGACGAGCAGCAGAAGAAGCGCCTGGAAGCTTTTCTCACACAGAAAGCCAAAGTGGGCGAGCTGAAGGACGATGACTTTGAGAGGATCTCCGAATTGGGGGCCGGCAATGGCGGTGTGGTCACCAAAGTGCAGCACAAACCCTCAGGGCTCGTTATGGCACGGAAGGTAATGGGGGAGTCGTGCTGGAGAGCGTCTGGCGCTCGCCCCGGCTCTAGGAGAGCCGGTTTCGGTTGGGATCTCTCTGCAGTGACCCATCTGCCCCCTAACCGCCTCGCCTGGGTCAGGACCGCGGCCCCAGCTGCTCCCAGCTAGGTTTTAGGTGGAACCTCTCCTGCTTCAGCGCTGTGAGCGACCTGGCTGCTCTGCCTGTCTCTGGGTCCCCTGGGAGAGGCCACGCTCTCTGCGACACATCCCTGGGGTTTAGAGCGCCTGGTGTGAAAACATAAGTTTGTTCTTTTTTTTCCAGTGAAGCTGTTTTTTAATGAACTCGGCTAAACTGGGTGGAAGCAGATCTGTTGAGGATCCTAGGTCATGGCTAACGAGGACTGGAAATGGCGGGTGGAGGGACGGGTGGCTGTTCCTCCATAAACAGGAGTTTGATGCACATGTTTCTCGCCTCTCACCACCCGCTTAACAGATCCCCAAGGTAGTTTCAAGCAGCCGTGACATCAGTTCATCTCAAATGTGGGCTTATAGGCGACGTCTTTTACTCTGGTGCCCTGTAATAGAAAACCCTCATCTGCCTATTAGGAAAGGCAGTGCTCGGCGAGGACGGCGCAACCACCTGTCTGGAGGACGTCTTCCTTGGACCTCTCTGGTCTGACCCGCTCTTGGGATGGTTTAATGGGTCTCCATGAGCAAATCCGCTTCTCTAGGTGGCTTCGCTCAGAGCTGAGTTCTCAGAGTCTTCCAGGGCATTCGATTTAATGGGTGTCACTGGGTGGTTTTGAGGTTGATGGGAGCTCCCTGTTCAGAAACCGAAGCGAAGGCGAGCTGCAGCACTGCTGTCCTTCCTGCAGAGACCGGCCTTTGCAGGTCTGCGGGAAGGACAGATGTCCCTGGGGTTGGGTGTCCTAGAGCTTACAGTGACACTGGCTCTTTTTTCTGACCTGCCATTGTATTTTCTAGCCTCTGGCTCCCCTACCCACAGCTGTGTTAACTGACCGCGAGGAGCCCAAGGAATAAAGCAACTGCTCTTTCACATGCAGAATCTTCATGAATTTATTTTTTTTTATTTTTTTTTTTTTCCTTTCTGTGGTTTCCTTGATATCAGAGCACCTCTTCTTACAACACCTACAGAACTTGTGAAAATGTTCCTGTCTGCTGAGTCAGATCTGCATCAAACTTCTGACTTGTCTTTCCGCTCTGTATCCCTGCGATCTCCGCCTGTTACATGGCTGGCAGTTGCTTCAGTCGCTAACAGGCTGCACGGGGCTCTACCTCTCCTTTATCCTTAATGTCAGTCTGCAAATGGTAAAAAGTCTTCAAGGGAAGCTCTGCTTTGATGTAAACTTTGTTTCTTTCCAACACTCAGGACTTGCTCACATGGTTCCTGTAAGTTGTTTTTTCTTTTTCAGGCGTTACACCTTGAATATTTTTTTTTTCTCTTTCTTTCTTGGCAGCTGATTCATTTAGAAATCAAACCGGCCATCAGAAATCAGATTATCCGAGAGCTGCAGGTGCTGCATGAGTGTAATTCCCCATATATCGTGGGGTTCTATGGAGCTTTCTACAGCGATGGAGAGATTTCCATCTGCATGGAGCACATGGTGAGTCCCTGCTCCTCCTCTGCAAACTGCTGCTCGCAGGACTGTTCTAAATCACGTCTCCCTGGGCCTCGAAACTGCGGGTGAAACAGGGTGCTGGCAGCTGGGACGGCTCCTTGCTCTGGCTGCAGCAAGGCCACTCTGCTCCCGGGAGGAGCTGCAGGCAGGAGCTGCCTGCTTAGGCATCGAAATGACAGAGAGATCGACTTTTTGGAAAGCGGAAGCGGAGGTCTGGGGGTTGGCCAAACGGAAATGTTGTAAACCTGCTGCTCTACGGAGCTCGCTGTGAAGCACGACGTGCGTTCTCTGTTGTCTCTGGCAGAGAATAGTGTTGTCGCTCCTCTGGATCAGTGCTGACAGCATCATCTTTGCATTTCCCTCTGGGGGAAAGGAAGCTGAGAACTAGTAGCAAGAAGTAGAGCTGATAGAAGATAGCATTAAAGCAGTTTTCAGTGAGAAGCTTGAGCTCTGATCACCAGATATGTGGGGTTTTTTTTTTGTTTTTTTTTTTTACCCCTGCTGTAAAAGGAGCGTGCTTGATGCCCAGTTGGTGCAGACAGCTGAGCTGGGATGTTGCGTACTGCTCATATACCGCTCGCCCTCCCTGGGCATGCTTGTCTGTAGAGCCAGCTGCTCTGTTTTCCTAAAAAAAATGTTGATCGCTTCGATGTTCTTTATTTTAGGATGGCGGCTCTCTGGATCAAGTGTTGAAAGAAGCCAAAAGAATTCCCGAGGAAATCTTGGGGAAAGTCAGTATAGCGGTGAGTTACAGTCGCTCTTCAGGCTTCTGGGAAGGATATTCTGGGCACAGTTTGGGAATAATGCTTGTGTTGCCTGAGGAAGCTTTCTTTGTTTCCCCACATGCACTTCCCTGTCCTGACCTAGGGCAAGAGGAGGTGGTGTGTGCGAGAGGGGAGGGGGGAAGCATATTCCCAACCGCTTTCCATAGCTCCGACCCCTTGCGCTGCGCTGGCTGGTGTTGCCTTCTCCCGGAGAAGATTTGGGAGAAGCTTTCTCGGGCGGTAAACTCAAGATCTGCGATTGACGTGGTGATAAATTGCAAACCCTGAAACACGTGGACACTGCGGGGTGGCTTTCCTCACCAAGCTGCAGCGTGGCGGCACCCGGAGTTTATGCAACGTGTCCTGCCAAATGGAGAGCACTTCCCTTCCCAGCTCTGATCTCATCCTGCCTTTGGTTTCCTTCTAGGTTCTGAGAGGCTTGGCGTATCTGAGAGAGAAGCACCAAATCATGCACAGAGGTGAGAGGAGGAACCTAAAAATAACTGCCTGCGGTACAGGGGCCCTGTGTTTTACCTAGAGTGGTGTTTACGCTCTTCTCTCTTCCTGTTGTCAGATGTGAAGCCTTCTAACATCCTCGTTAATTCTCGAGGAGAAATTAAGCTGTGTGATTTCGGAGTCAGCGGCCAACTCATTGACTCCATGGCAAACTCTTTTGTGGGAACTCGGTCCTACATGTCTGTAAGTTCCTTTCAACTTTCCCTCTGGGTTTTTTTCTTTTTTCCAATTTAGGTTCAACTCAGCTCTTACAGAATCAACGTGTAGAGTCCATTTCACTCACGGTTTTGCTCTGTGTTTCCATCCTCACCCGGACTGCCCTGTCCCTTGTTCGCATCGGGGGTGAGCCCCGTGCGTCAAGGCACCGTGCTGTGCGGAGAAGCAGACACCTCCGCGTCCTCTTGAGGAGTTGGGGTCCTGTTGGCTCCAACCTGTGCCTGGATAGCAGTGGAAGTGCAGAAACTTGCAAAGACATTTCAGATCTTACAAATACTTCCATATTTTTATTTTGGCAAGTGTTTGTGGGTTCAAAAAAAAATCTTTCTGTGTACGAAGCTCCGTCCATGAAACTGAGTGCAGAGGGGACGCAGATGCTGGTACGCTCGCCTCCTCCCGCTCTGACTGCGTGCGCTCGCTGGCAGAATGGGAGTAAAACCAGTCAGGGGCAGGAGAGGTTTGGTGGAGGCTAAGGGGGAATTAAAGCCAGAGTGAACTGCAGGAAGAGCTGGCTGTGCCTCTCCTTTAAATGAGAATAATCATCGTTGTTGGCTCATCTGCAGATAAAGTGGTGTCCACGACAATAAAATTCCCTCCTGGCTGGCTCCGAGTCCCCAGGACCCGCTGGCTGAAAGGCAGAGCCGGGGGGGAGGGTCTTCTCCCCGCACCGTGTGTGGTCGTGGCTGGGGACGAGCTGGTGGGTTAGTAGGGAAGCTGTCAGGCTACGCTTCTGTGCTTCGGTCTGAGCTGCTCTCGTATTTTGGGAATGGTTATTCCAGTACAGTTATAGTTAGACGGTGGCTATTTAAAAGTAATATCTCC